ATCAGCTATACCTGAGCAAAAAAGACTTGTGATCCTGATAGGTTATATTGTACGTGGAGCAGTTACTAAAACCCCAAATTTCACCTCTTTAGTAGTGAAAAGACGAATGCACTAGATAACGCACAGAGAACAAAGTACTTAACGCAATTCACAAGACCATAAAATCAACACAGAGATACTTAACTTCAAACACGCAAGTGAAAAGTTAAATGAAAAGAATCTTCAAGACCCCACCAATGAGGCAGAAAGTAATCCAGTAAGCTGCGCCTGCAGTCATACCCAGCAAAGATAGTAGTCGTAGACAACAGCTATCGAAGTCGATGCGCCTTCGTTCTCCTTAAGAACAGCCGAGGACAACTTCCCTCAAACCAAAAAATGAGGGAATCAATGAACCAATGATCAAGACGACACCTGGCTCTGAGACAAAGTTTCGATGGTAAAGTGCTGAAAATATGATTACCAACCCATCGATCTATGCAAAACTCCGCGTAAAGAGAAAGAAGAAAGGATGGCCAAAAGGAAAACCAAGAAAATAAACAAGATCTACGTATTCTACAGCAGAAAAACCCCATTCCAACATGGAAAATATAATTCAGTGGAATATCAATGGCTGTATCTCGCATTACTGTGAGCTGAAATTGCTACTGGCCAATCACACACCAATGTGTGTGTGCTTACAAGAAACTCATTTTAAACCAGAAGACCGTTTCAATTTTAGATTATATAAAACCTTTCGCAGTGACGTAGACCCGATAGACAAGCTAGAGGTGGTGTTGCCATATTGATCAAGCATACTCATCCTGCTAGTCGTCTTGATCTCGACACACCTCTACAAGCATAGCTGTAAACCCTACACAAGCCATTGAGATGACGGTATGTTGCATATACTTACCGATGCCTCATGGCGAAATGAAGATCCACAAGACCTGATCGATCAACTACAGCTCCATTTCTAATTCCTAGCGACTTCAATGCTCACAGTACCACATGGGGCTGTTCTAGGACAAATGACTCCGTCGCAGAATCGATTGACCTGCTACTCAAACGAATACGTACTTTTAAACACAGGAGCAAGCACTCATTTTTTAATGCTAGAAAATGGCTCATTCTCAGCCATAGATCTCTCAATGTAGTCCAAATCTTGCAACTCGGGCTAACGAGTGGAAACCACTGCCAGATCTTCATCAGAGTGATCACTTTCCTCTGTTGATATCATCAAACATCGCAAAAGAACACAGTACACTTAGCAAACGTTGTGTGTACACCGCGCGACTGGTCCAGCTTCACCAGACATATACCACCAATAATGTCAGTGGAAACTCAGAGGACGTTAACGATTTCACACTTCTTATCTTCAGTGTAAAAATACATTCCACAGACTAAGTGGCCGCTCATCTAGGATTCCAGTACCATGGTAGAATACGGAGAGAAAGAAGATAAAGGGAGAAAGAAAAGCCCTCAATAGATATAGACGTGCACCAACCAAAACAATTTTATGCTTTCAAGCTCTGCGTGCGCTCGCTCGCAGAAAAATACTAACAGCAAAACGATCAAGCTGGGAAAAGTACGTAACAACCATAACTCGGATGACCAAAGTCTCGGAAATATGGCAGAAAATCCGGTACCAGACTGAGGAAAAATGTTTTCAGTCCAATAAACATGCATTGAACACGAAGGACAACTAATATGCACCCTGACGAAATAGCCAGTGCATTAGCGTCCCAATACTCCAAGCCAGTGACACCAATAGCTATCCTAAGACTTTCTCGACAAAAGAAAAGAAGAAGAAGAACAGTTACTTGACTTTACAACCAATATAGATAAGCGCATATACGCTCTTTTCACATGGAGAGAATTGCAAGACGCCATAAATGCAGCTGGAGACACCGCAGCAGGATCAGACAATATACCTTACAGCATACACGTCGATTACCGAAGAAAATACTGTCCTTTGCTAAATATATACAATAACAATTGGACACCAAAGTAATTACCCCAAAGTCTGAAGAAGCGATAATAATTCAATTTTAAAGAGCAGGCAAGGATCATTAAATCATGAAAATTATCGCCCGGTATCGCTGACATGCTGGTGCTAGGAAAAATATTGGAAAAAATGGTCAACACCCGGCTAACATGGTGTCGTGAAAGAAACAACCTCCTAGACATACATCAGTGCGGATACAGACAACATCACTCTACACGACCAGGCTAATATCTGGAAAACGCAATTCAGAATACCTTCATCAAAAGAAAACATATGGTTACCGTATTCTTTGACCTGGAAAGGCTTTCGATAAGACCTGGCGAGATAACATTCTGAGACAGCAATATAACTGGCAAATAAGAGGATATACTCATAATTCATATCCAGCTTCCTTAGTACCAGATCTTTCAAGTTTCGCGTTGGCAGGCTATCCAGAAAGCCACGTACTAGAGAACGGTGTACGCAAGGCTCTCCGTTGAGTGCACGCTCTTTATCATAGCAATAAACGGGATGTTTTGGACGCATAGAAGCGTCAATAGGAAATGCATGAATGTAGATGACATTGCTATATTTTTACTCAGCCCAAAGCACTGGGAATGGTCAAATTCAAAATGCAAAATGCCATCAATAAATTAGTACAGAACGCAAAAAAACATTGGTTTCTCATTTACAGCAGCCAAAACGAATTGCGTCCACTCAGTCGGAAAAGGAAAAGTTACAGAGATCCTGAGCTGACGCTGAATGGTGTTCAACTGGCATACAAT